TCACATCTTACACGTTCATTACCATGTTCACAAGAGCCCTCCACTGGTCCCTATCCTGAGCCAGATATATCCAATCCATACCATCCCATCCCATCCTATCTCTCTAAGATCCATTCTAATATTGTCCACCCTCCTGTGCCTTGGTCTTCCCTGTGGTCTCTTTCCTTCTGGCTTTCCCACCAATATCCTATACGCATTCCTAGTCTCGCCCATTCGTGCTACATGACCTGCTCACCTCATCCTCCTTGACTTTATCATTCTAATTATACTTGGAAAGAGTACAAGTTATGAAGCTCCTCATTATGCAGTTTTCTCCAACCTCCTATCACTTCATCTCTCTTCGGTCCAAATATTGTCAGCACCTTGTTCTCAAACACCCTCAGTCTGCGTTTCTCCCTTTATGTCAGAGACCAAGTTTGAGTTGTTTAATTATATAGTTTAATTAACAAGTGAGTGTGTGAATATTGTACCATTGTCTTCTGTATATTGACTGTCACTCATTAGTGTTATTTATAGTGTGAATATTAATGGTTTGAACTGTGTGACATAATTTAGTGGTCACTGTGCATTTAAGATGATACAATTTGGGCAGAGCATTTTTCTTGCTTTGATGTTTACGCTTTGGATAGAATATAAACAGAACTGTCATTGATTCACCGTCTCCTTAACGTGGCCCTAAAGATTACTTGTCATTCTGATAACCATTCTATCAGACTCTTGTGATTATTGGTGTGTCAGTGACTACACTATGTCACATCATTCCTCACATCACAAATGCATAACTTGGCCTTTGCAGGCATAATATTTTATGATATTATTCTCTCAACAATCCTCTGTATCTTTCCATTCTTTGAGTATATCTAACCTTCCCCCAAAATGTATTGGCTTGTAACTGATCCTGTAATGTTTTGCATGCACCCTTTTTTCAGCCAGCTTTTGAAATTTTTTCACTTGTTTTGCTTATCATACATCTCAGATTTCATTCCTGTATATTGATTTTTATTTTTACTTGTCACTCAGAAGCATCTCTGTGTGCAGGTTCGTGTTCTTAGCTGCTCATGTTAGTGGGAGACATAAAGATATCATCTTGCAGTCTTATTTGATACCAGGGTTTTGACCAACAGATAATCATTTGCAAAGATGTTGATTAAAAAAAGCTTGATTTTAGTAGAAGTATCATTATAATATGATCTGCTCTTCTATACCTGATACATTTTCTGCCCACAAAAACTAATTAGAGTATTCTATTCTTTTTCAGTGATCTTTTGTCTTCAAAACTCTTACAGTTGTGTGATTTTGCATGTGAGAATAGTGCTGATGCTGTATCGAGCCGTGCATTGGTGCAGGATGAGACTGTATTTGTGCCACTGGAGAAGGATGGGGATCTTATACAGTTTGAATTAACAGTAAATTTTCTGCTGAATTCTGGAATACCTCTACCAATATATGCTAATGCTGAGGAAGTGGAGGGAACAAAAGTTATTCCTTTACCAGATCTGTATCCAATAAAACACACAGTCACTTTGGAGAGAGAGAACATATATCAAACTAAAAATATCTTTCGTAAGTTTTAGTTCATTTAGTCAATGTGTGTACCATATGTGTTCTGCATTTTGGGATAAGCTTCTCTTATATTCTATAATGACTGATTTTGTAGAAGTACAGAAGCTATCAAAATGTGCTATTATTACAAATTTATTCCTAGATTTATTTCAGTTTTGTTCCATTAGTGTTTAATTTTCTTAAGTTCAGAGGAGTAGTATGACTGCCAAAGTTATATGTCTTATTTTATTACATATCTAGAGACAGTTTGATAAATTTTGTTTGCTATGGTGTTTTAGCTCAAAGTAAGTGAGAGAACACTATTATTTCTTACCCACAACATGCCTCTGAAGTTTGAATGCATTCCTACTGTTTGATATTGTGCAGTTTTTATTGTAGTGCTAGTATTTGCATGCTTTGAAATCATTTATATTACAGGGCTACAGATATTGACTGAAATTAAAATTATGAAGCACCATTAATTTGCAGACAAGCTTTTAAGCTTTTGGATACTAAGGTATCTTCATTGTGTTTGTAGCTGTGCTCCAGGGTAGCCAGTTTCCATACATTCATACTGCTGTCATTCACTATAATGAAACTGAAGTCAAGAATATTTATGAGACTCATGTCACAGAAGAGCAAATCCTAGGGAGGACGCTTCTGAAATCCTTTGCAATTGCTGCAGCATATGCCCAGCAGAGATTTGGGGTAAGATATTTCTGTTCATCAGACAGGTGTAATTACAGTAAATTGATAGATACTGGTAAAGGACTGAAGACCACCTCTGTGGTCTAGTGGTCAGAGTTCCTACCTACAGATCCAGAGGTCCTGGGTTCCATTCCCGGTGTTACCATATTTTCTGAGAAGTAGTGGGTTTGGAACGGGGTCCACTCAGCCTCATGAGGATAATTGTGGAGGTAATTGAAGGATATAGCGGCTTTGATCTAAAAAACCGACATAAACGGTCGTGGGGATCGATTGCGCTGACCACGTGACACCCTCTATCCGTGAAAGTTGGCACTAACTTCGCCGACAAGCAGCGGTCACTCGGTAGATATAGTTCGCTTGCAGACAACAGGCCATGGAGTTCTTTTTTGTTTGGTAAAGAATTGAAACATTAATTATAAGTAGATGTTATGTGACAATACAATTTTACATTAAAATGTCATAACTTAGGGATACGAGGCAACAGATTACCAATTGAAACAGCATTGCATACGAGGTCTGACAACAAGGCTGTACTCAGTGCAGTGCTATGTAAGTTTTATTATGAACCACAGTGGTCTCCATCAAAGGAGCTTCCTCTCACAGCTATTCTTGAATTCCAGTGTTGTTTCTTACTATAATCATAGTGTCAATCCTATTGTGTGTCACAGTAATGGTTAGGTAAGGTGTCCATCAACACAACAAAAAATGGTTTTGTAATCAAATCAGGTTGCCCACTATGAAAATAGTTCATGCGAGTCATGCATTTAGCATATATAAATGCAGTATGTGCCAAAATATGCAGTACTGAAACTCGTGCATGTGCGTTTGTCGACGAGGCATAGCTCCAGCCACACGCGTTCCCAGTAGTGAAAAGGAAGTTTTGTTGTGCAGTTGTTGTTGGAAATGGGTCCCTCGACGGAGGAAAAAGTATTCATAGTTGAGTATTATTTCCACTCATACTGAACTGGTCGCCAGATAACTCACTTCCTTGGTTTTGAGCAGCCAGATGGTATTGTCCAGAAACCGCTACATAGTACACATGTGGCAATATGGTGTGCCGTCTCAGCACACGGTATATTAGGCCCCTATTTCATTGAAGATGAGGAAGACAGTGCTCTTACTGTCACCCAACAACGCTACAGGGACATGGTAATTGGACCAATTCTTCAGGATTTGAGAAGGTTCTGTCATGCAAGGGGCCTTCACATGAATAGACAGTGGTATCAACAGGACATCTTTTTGATTTCAGTACTGTATACATATTTTGGCACATACTGTATATGAATACAAAACTCAAGTTATTGAACTGCAGTGATGTTAACCTTTAAACGCCGGACTTATGAAATGGTGGTAAGCTTGAGCTGGCCGGAGTTTATTTAAATGCCCGTTGCTGCTCTGCGTTTAAGTGTCTGTTCCTGTTAAGGCGCTTAAACAATTTTAAGCATTATGTTTAAAAATGCTTTATCTAACCCAATTTTTATGATAAATGGATGGAATTAACTTTGTTTATATCAGCAAAGAACATAGTGTCTCATATTATAATGGAAAATTTGAAAATTTTTATACAAAGAGTTGTACTCTATTTTCAATTTTTTCTTTTAATTTTGATGCATACTGCAAAAATGGTTTCCCAGTTCTTCGCAGAGTTGTTCTGCATTATAAATTCATTTCTGTTTGTAACATTTGACAAATTTTAGTAGTCCCTGGTGTCATAAAACAGATGGAAGCAATAAAATCATTTGACCTTCTGCTAGCACTGCTCTTACACTCTTCGGATATTTTACTCTTTTGGCTAAAGGACAGAAGAATGAAAGAATGGCTATTCAAGGGAAAGCTAGAGGGGTCCCTTCAATGCTAAGACCTTCCATTATAGCTGCTAGAGATTATTGCCCTTTCTTTGGTCGTGAACAGACAGTTGCATCGTGGCTGAGATATAGAGTGCATTTTGTTTTCTGTGCGTTCATAGTGAAATCGAATACTGTAGTTTCATTTCAGCCTATATATACATCAAGCAGATAATAACAAAAATGGTATGTACATCGAATTTTACTATATACTTTTAAGACATTAATCTGCAGAATCTGCAATAAAATTACTGGCTCGTGGATGAGTTTGGACATAACTCATACGTATATTCTTTTTTTGCTGTTGTTCACTAAGGTATCATTTTAATTCCTCTATTATGATTTTACTCAAGTCTGTCTGGTAATTACCACATTTAAAAATAAATATTTAGGACTGTGCATGTGCTTCCACTAGCGGCGTTTAAATGCCCAACTGGCCAAAATGGGGTACTTTGGCCACAACGACCACGCTCATCACTGGCCTGATCAGGGCACTTTGGACGTTAAAGGTTAATATTGATTTGTTTCTAACTGTAAAAATACTTTGAGAGTCACATGAAATTTGATTGTGATGAGTATAACTGAGATCCTCAGGATGCCAGGATATCTTCGATATTTACAACTGTAGTTTGCACTTGGCATCAAAATCATCTTCCTTTTTTCTCTCTCTCTCTCTTCTTCTTCCTCCCCCCCCTCATAGTGTTGATACAGTTTCTTTGGAAGTTGCTTTTTCATTATACTGGAGCACAGGACTGAGAACTTCAAGTTTGCCCCATTGTGTGCAGTCCAGTGTAACCTCATTGACTCACCTTGTAATATAGTAATCACCTTGTTTAGTTTACATTTGATTAATACTCTCCCTGTTGAGCTCAGGAATCTCAGAATAAATTGTGGAAGATTTTCATGCCTTGAATGTGAACTTAGAGGCTAGAGAATATGGAATGCTGCATTATATTTGATACAACACTTGAGACGCCTCATATCTTGGAACAGAAAACTCTCACACTCTTACTGTAGAAGGAGACCAAAATCCACCAACTGAATGAAACTAAATATTGCTACTAAAATCATGACCTTCAGAAATGTTAAATATCCAGTATGTATGCAGAATGTCTATAGCAGTGGCTCTCAACCTTTGTCAGACTGCAGCCCAGTAAATTATTTTTTTCTATAAGATGAGAGCCCAGTACCAGGCCACGGCCTGGGGTTGAGAGACACTGGTCTGTAGTACATATTTTTTAATACATTGTGGTTGATGTTATGCTGTATCATGATATTATTATGAAGTTCATATATGTGCTGTTACTCCATGTCTTTGAAACAAAAATTTTTTAGAAAAACTTATGTTGTCTACTTTCATTTAAATACATCCCAATGAATAATTCTGCAATCTTACAAATGACAATGATATAGTTTGTAGATATAAATTTGTGAAAATTTATCACTGATGTAGATTCTGAATACATGAAAGAACCTTAATTGAAATTCTAAGCATACAAATAATGTTCCATCCAAATTTTGCAAGTTTATTCATTAATTTACCACATGCAGTAAACTTGTGGTTATCCACTATCCTGACATCTGGAATTGTCATCTGCCTGTCACAAGTTCAGAAGAAATTTACCATTTTTGTAAAGTCATTCAAAACAAATTTGTGATGTGCATATGTTTACATGCCATGTATGAGTAGTAGTTCTCTCAGTCACCACTGTTAGTGCTACCCATTGTTCTTCCTGCCAGAGGTGCCCTTACAGTAGAGGCTTCTTGAAATTATGATCATATTAAACTATGTATATGCATAATCTTTCACCCATCAATCCCTTGTCTCTCCTAGGAAGACTCCCACTCAAGGAATAAAGGTAAAATGATATTTTGATTTTGAATTGGGCTTTTGTGAGAGTTCTTCTGATGCAACCAACAGATTCATGTAACTGGCAAATCCTGTTCCCCATACATACCAGATAGGTCACTGTAATTTAAAATGTATTTACCTTAAGTGTTTTATAAGGTAGCAGAGGGAGTACAGATTTTTCATTGTTACCATGTCATTATTTTAAATTCTACACAACACTTTAATGAATGACTTCTTTGAAGATATTCACCACAGAATTTTAAGACTGGTGAATGGCTATAGTGTTGTTGTTAACAGGTTGGTGTGATTGTAGTGTTAATATGGATTAAACACTATGGAAGTAGAGATACCTAAAGTGGTAAGATTTTGTTTGAAAAAAAATGATTGTGAGACATATGCATATGAACATGATTGTGCTATGTACATCTAAAAACAATTATATACTATATGTTTTTACATATTTTTATTACTTTCAGGTGAATGTGAAAGACCTTCCAGAACCTATCACTATTCAGTGTGTACAGACAGATGGGAGGTTATTTCACTTTGCTGTTTTCCAGCTTAACACCCTTGATCTTAATGGAATTGATGGAAAGAAAAACATATTTTGGATGCTGCCCAGAATTCCTTTATTTTCTTCATGCATGTATGTGAAAGGCAAACCATGTGTTGAGGGTTACAATCCAGAAGTGTTCTGTAGATTTCTTGCATTTTGTTCGAATGGTTTGCAGTCGTAGTGATGATGTATGCACTAGTGAACTGTAAGAAACTATTAAATGTTTATATAAAAAAAAATCATGTTCATTTTATTTTAGCTGGTGAATATGAAAATGTATGTCACCAACCCATGCTTTGATGTATATATGTAATAACTAATAATCCAGGTACTATAGAAACCAGAAGGTCGTGGATTCAAGTCCCAATGAGGTCATCGGATTTTTTTTTCAATTGACCTAACCCTTCCAGCCGCACTGTGGTCCTAGGGTCGACTCAGCCTCTAACAGAAATGAGTACCAGGAATTAATTAAATAATTTTCCTGGGGAGTAAAGCATGGCCGGCGTGTAAGGCTGACAACCTTACCGCCATCCATGAGCCAATTGTCTAGATAATGTGGGATCCTCAACGTCTCACAGCCCTATGGGCCTTCACGGCCTGGTACAGGGTAGCTTTACTTTTTTTTACTTTACTAATGTTGATGGAGGTCTGTTACTCAAAACAAATGTTTATTTCTTCAAGTCTTCAATGAAAAGATGAGGAAAGCATATTGAGCTAATGAACATGAGGTAAGGAGTTGTTCTCTGATAAATTTCATGGCCCTTGGTTTGATATCAAGTAGAACAAGGAAAATAGTTCAAAAAACAATTTCATGCATTTCATTTCCGATTGAGTAAAACTATGTAGAACTAAATTATCCAAGTCTTGAAATGTTGGAGTTTGCAGAGAGAATAGTTGGACAAGAGAAGATTTTTCAGAAAAATCGGGGGTTTTGTGTTGTAGTAGCAGTCAAAATTGATAAGTATTTATAAAAAACAGTTTTGTGGACAGTTCATGATATCTGATTTCCTTCCTTTTTATAGATTTGTTAAAGAATAGTCTTAATCTCCAGTTTTGAAACTCTTGTTGAATTTACTGATCCTTTATCAATAACTAGGAAGGCCTATACACTGGCAGAATTTGTTGGTATGTTCATGACATGTTTCCAAACCAAATTTCTAGAGGTTCACCTATTGCTGTTGATTGTACATTATGCATGGATGCCATAGGAAATGCATTTAAGAGTCATCAAGGAAATATATTTTTATTAAATGTTATAAAATTGGGTGTTAAGTTTGGGAAGAAGGCTAATAATCTCGCCATGTAAATAAATAAAATAGTAATAAAGGTATCACCGTAGCAGGCCGTGGAGGCCCATAGGGTTGTGACATGTTGAGGCTCCCACATTTTCTAGACAATCTGCTCACAGATGGTGGTGAGGTTGTAAGCCTTACGTGCCTGCCACCTTTTGCCCCCAAGAATATTCCTGGTACTCACTTCAGTTAGAGGCTGAGTCGACCCCAGTACCATAGTGCAGCTGCAAGGATCAGGTCAATTTAAAGAAATCCACATCATTGGGATTCGATCCCGCAACCTTCCAGCTTGTAGCATAGTGCCTCAACCAACTACGCTACCATGTGCCCAGTTATAGGTAAGACAGTTACATTTGAGATACTTTGTACCAAATACAGATCAAGCAAGCCTGTTCAAGTGGTAATGTTCCTGACTGATATTCAGAATGTGTCCAGTTTGAATCACAGTTGTGACATTGGTTATTCCTGGTTGAGGTATTTAGTGTTTCTCCTAGGCTGTATAAGGAAATGCTGGGAGAGTACCTTAAATTAGGCCATGGCTGCTTCCAAATTCTCTTCAGTTGGTTATGTACTGTCATTTAGTCATTCTAGACGAGTATTAAATAAACTACAAAGAAACTGAACTTTGGGTAGGTATATTTCTAACATTTTGCCTTGAGAACATGTTTTGCCTCAAGAAATACTGTTAGGACCCCAAGTCAAATATGATTAGTACGTTATAAATCAGGTAAAAGAAACTCTTAACAGTCTTTGATGTGTGATGCTTTATAGTTCCATAGAATGGTACCAACATTTCAGAGAAACTTGTTGCATCCGTTTTCTGGGTTGGAGAATGGTACATGGCATAACGGCACAAAAAATAAAAAAACTAAAACCATATTTACAGACATGAGAACTGGAATTATCGTAAGGGAAAGTTTAAATGTAGCAATCACTATAACAAATATATAAAATTCAGTCTGACGTTTAAGTAAAAAATACATACCTTTTAGCTACTTACGTGTCATCTTTGTGCAAGTAAAACTGCAATCTACACCGCATCGAGCCACGTTTCGCATCTGCACTGCCATATAGATTTCAGTATTCATTGTAATTTTGCCATATAATCCTGTCTAGTGCTGAACGTCATTCTAATGAAATTAATAATAAATGGAAGCGTCAGTATTACTGTTGCCATATATGATTTATAATGCTTTAATGTAACCAAATAACTATGTTCTGTGTGGCTCTCAAGCGTAAGTTGTCACCAAAGGTGTGAGGTTAAATAGAAGTATGTCTGATGGAAACAGAATTTTCTTTCAAGTTTCCCACCTTCAGCTTTCCTAAACACAAGTATTCTATGTATGTTATAGTTCACAATGTCCAATGCATTTGGGTAATGAGATGTTGGATTGGTATGAATGAAACGTTATGACTTTACAGGCTCTGGTGAGAAACTTTCTGATTTTGCAACCCTGATCCCTTTGCTGCAGAGGTTCGTACTCCATTGTGTTTATTTTTTCTTCTTTTTCCAAATTGGGTTCAGTATCACTTCACTCGTATCCTATGGAATGGATATGAGTGAAGTGATATTGAACCCAATTCTGAAAAAGAAGAAAAGAACAACTGAGTAAGAATCTATGCAGCACAAGAGATGTGGTTGCAAAATTATTTATTGCTATTAATGCGAACTGTTGGTTCCCGGAGGGGGGGGCGCAAAGGATAGTATGGTAGCATTCTATTTTCTTGATCATGCTGGCGGTGCTGGCGGCCATTTCTCATTTAGTTAGGGTACCTCTGCGTAAAGATGGCAGGATTCATTGCAGCCATGTTGCCCACCATTGACGAAGAGTTTCCGGGGCGGGGGATGCAACAAAATAAGATTACCACTTTATTTTAGCAGGAATTTGTAGCAGGTAAGCTGCGAACTCTGCGAACTTTGTTGCATAAATTTGTTTTCTCTGATTTATTTGAACTTGATATTGTTGAAATGTGGATGTTCTTTACAAACGGCATTGTAATTGGAACGTATCAGTAATCGTTTTTTATTTTAAGCGTTTCCACAATAGGTTTTTTCAAGTTTGTTGGGGAAAACGCTTATCGTTGCGACTTTTAGCTCTCGTATTTTAATACGGTATGATATGATATTGTATGATGATGATATTGTAGGAAATGTCTCTATCTTTGCCAAAGTTTTTACGTAATTTAATTTTATGTTTAAATTTTGATTTTTTTTGGAAGGAATTTGGGGAAACGTTTTTTTGTTTCATAATAATAAGGTAATGGGATATGTAAATTAAAATACGGTTCTAAAAGACTTAAGAAGTCCACAGATCGATGCACTATTTTTGGGGGTTTTATTGGATTCTTGAAATACTATTGAATATTATCGAGCTTGGTTAAACTTATCGTGGAATACTTCTGATCCCAACAACGGAGAAGAAATCACGGGTTTTCTTGGACGCATGCTATTTTATTGATACCGAAGTTTTCAGTGGAAAACGATGCTCTAACTGAAACTGGGAACGAGATAGTAGAGGACAGTACTATCATCTGTGGTCTGACGCCGTATAGTATGGTAGTTTGCCAATATATTGAAGGAACATAAGGCCTCTATCATAAGGATCATATGGGTCAAACAGTAAGCTGAATAAGCAAGCAAGAAGCAGAGTAAGCCCAACCAAAATGTTTGTAAACATGTTTCAGATTACACAATATCACATCCAAAAAGATGGTACCTGGAAACCTTAACACCCACAAGAACGAAGAGAGTTGTTATGAACTTGCATAATTAAAGAATTCAGGATTGGTACAGATGCAGCATAAGAACTGTTTTTTTTTTATTGTTATTGTTATTGTTTTTAGTATGTGACCATTATTGTGTCAGTCATATGGAACAAAATGCAGCCAGTGTGTTAAAATTGCTTTCCGTTTCCAGAATTTGCTGTGCCTTTATGCATATGACAAATTATGATAAATAAATATGTCAGCAGTAAGAATTATTTATATTACTTTATCCATTATTAGCATACCTTTAGTCAGAGTTTGAACAATCTGCTATAATGGTTAACCCCTTAAACCACAATTGTCACTGTACCATCCAGTTGAATGTTTACTACAAGTTGCATTTTGTTCGCATGATGGATTGTGTATGGTTCCCAAGGTAAACAACGATCAGTTCTCTAAACAGCATTAATTAGTTTGTCTTTATTCTGGATGCCCAGTACGTTTTTCTTTGAGGTAGGAACTGGATTTTTAAATATTGTTTAGATTAATTTCATAGTTAAAAGAGCTAACTGTCTAGGGAAATATATTAACTCAGCTTATAATGGTATTGTTTTTAATGACTTTTCATTTAATTTTTAATATCTGTGTATGAAATATTTTCTTTAGGAGGCAAAGTCTTCATCAGCATAGAATTTGTGCAGCATGGATCTTCTTCATTTGGAAGGTCCCTCATCTTTACACACTGGTAAAATGCAGCAAAAAAGCAGACAAGCCCACAGAGTAGAAACTGTGGATATTGCAAAATCTGTAAGTTGTTCTCATGTTTTTACTTTAAAGTTTCAAAATATAAGGCTGAACACTTTTTGCTTAAGTAAAGGTCAGTTTTTATAAGACTAAGATTTATCTTTGTTCATTGGCCATCTGTCATGGAGGGAACTTTGAATAGCCACTGCCTGTATATTTTTTTTATCCATACAATTAATTAATTTATTTATTTATTTTGTCTCTATAGATCATTGTTACATGATATAGGACAAGTCAGTTACTGTACATTGGCTGATTACAAAAAGAGAATAAAGTTACAATACTTAAAATTCTTTACAATAGGGTAAATGATATAAACTCCGTCTCAAGTGCAAACAATATATTTTGTGTCTTTGATCTTGCTCCCTACACTACATGTTTCGGCTCAGACGGCCATCATCAGGTGTATAACACTCACGTCGCTGTCACATGGATATGATGAAATCTCTAACAAATTACTTAAAGCAAGCTCTGTTTACATCAGTTCACCCTTGAATCATCTATGTAATAAATCTTTATCATCAGGTACTTTTCCTCAACGCATAAAATACGCTATAATGAAACCACTTTTTAAAAAAGGAGAGAGAAAATGCATCTCTAATTACAGACCAATATCCATATTGACTTCATTCTCAAAAGTCTTTGAAAAAGTTATGTATAATAGACTACTTGAACACTTAAATTCTAACAACATATTAGTCAAAGAGCAATTTGGATTTAGGAAAGACCTAACAACAGAAAAAGCAACCTATGAACTAACTAACGATATTTTAAGTGCTCTCAATGACAGATTAATTGTGGGAGGGATTTTCTGTGATCTAGCAAAAGCTTTCGATTGTGTTAATCATGATATCTTACTATCGAAATTAAATTTCTATGGAATAACTGGCAAAGCTAATGAATGGATCAAATCATACCTCAAAAACAGGTATCAAAGAGTTGAAATAAATAATAAAAACTCCAGTCATAATGCATTTTCAAACTGGGGAATTATAAAGCACGGTGTTCCACAAGGATCAATTTTAGGTCCCTTACTTTTTCTTCTCTACATAAATGATCTATCTAAAACCATCAACAATAAATCTAAACCAATTCTATATGCAGATGACACTAGTATAATATTTAAGAACTCTAAATTTGAAAACTTTAAAAATGACATAAATATTGTATTTGAAGCCTTAAACAGATGGTTCGAAGCCAATTTACTCTCATTAAATTTTGATAAAACCCATTACATATCATTCACAACTAAAAACAACCACCAAATTGATCTGGACATCAGTTATGCCAACAAATTAATCTGTAAAGTACTTGATACAAAATTCCTTGGAATACATGTAGACAGTACACTGTCTTGGAAAATACATATTGAACAAATTATACCTAAATTAAATGCAGCTTGCTATGCGATGAGATCAATTAAGCCTTTTATGTCACAGGAAACATTGAAGATGGTTTACCATGCCTACTTTCATTCTATTATGAACTATGGATTAATATTTTGGGGGAACTCTTCACATAGTGTAATAATTTTTAAAATACAAAAGAATATAATTAGAATCATTACAGGATGTAGAAGTAGAGATTCATGTAGAGAATTATTTAAGAAATTAAAAATTCTACCTCTTCAATCGCAATACATATTATCGCTTCTCTTATTTGTTGTTTACAACAAAGATAAATTCAAATTAAATTCTGATGTCTATAACATGAATACTAGACAAAAATACAACTTCCACCTACCCTCATCAACTTTATCAGTATATCAAAAAGGAGTCTACTTTACTGGCATAAAAGTGTTCAACAATCTGCCACAAAGTATTAAAAACTTGGGCAATGATACTAAAAAGTTTAAATCAGAGTTAAAGAATTATCTACATGCTCATTCCTTCTACTCTTTAGATGAATACTTCAATGTAAATAGAGAATGATGTAAAATTAAGTTATATTAATTTTTAAGCTAAAATTGCCTGTACTTATGTATGTAACCTTTTGACTTGTTCTGTATCCAAAGGTACTAACCTGCTTAGGATTTATAGAATGTAAATAAATTCAATTCAATTCAACACTGCACCCAGTTCAAAATTTAACATCTAAAACACTCTCCCTGTCATTAGATGTTAAATTTTGAACTGGGTGCAGTGTGACAGCGACGTGAGTGTTATACACCTGATGATGGCCGTCTGAGGCCGAAACATGTAGTGTAGGGAGCAAGATCAAAGACACAAAATATATTGTTTGCACTTGAGACGGAGTTTATATCATTTATCGTATGGAGTGCAACAGGATGCTTAAATATAATACTTTACAGTAGATTACAATAGTTAAGAGTTCATATAGTGTGAGGTGGAATCCATGTTAGGTCCCCTCGCCACATCAGCTTCCGTATGTCCTGTTGTACCTGTACCGGTGATAATGCTTATGGAGAATTTGATGGAATGAGGATTGGCAGGGGAAATCGAAGTACTCGGGGAAAACCTGCCCCAGCACCACTTTGTCCATCACAAATCCCATTTGACTAGACCGCAGCGGTGGGAAGCCAGTGACTAGCCGCTTAAGCTATGGCGCGGCCTTTGAGATAATATTAGTGAATTTGGTGACAGCACTGGTATAACGTTTCACTGTAGACTCTACATTGCAACATCTCATTACATCTGTTCTGCCTTCCTGGTAAAGCTTCTTGGTATCTGCACTCTCTCCAGAGTAGCCCATTCAGGTACATCTTCGACTGTGTTATCTTGGTTGCTGGAAAAAAGAAAGGAAAACTGCGCAGTAGGGATTCCCAAAACCGATTAATGGGGCAATGCAATTATTGTTATCGATTCCTTTTGTTACATAGTTTGGAAAAGTACTGCATGGCTTTAATATCTTTTCTCTTTTTTTTTTTTTCTTGAGGTTCATGAAGGGAGGGTAATAATCTCACAGAAGTGAAGAAGTTATTTATGTCATTACATCTGTATTAGTTATGGACTTACTCTGAATAAAGTGGTACAAGGGAATATATTTTCTTATTTTCCTACATGACAGTTGCTCATAAAATTTAAAGAATGTTAATGATTTTTTGTGAATAATGAAGGATCTACTGTCTATGGGAAAACTTTGTCAATGTTATTAACATTTGTTTCTGTTTTAAGAGTTTGCTTAAATTGGATGAGATTGATAATAATTGAAATTTAACGAGAAGTACATTTTTGTTCTGTTTTTATGAAGGGAATTTTTGTCTAGCTCTGTATGGGGGAAATCTGAAAATTATAGAAATTAGTTGGGGATTTAAATTTAAAAAATATTCTAACTAAATGATTTGCATGTGCAAAATTAAATAATTTCAGATTAATGTATTCTTTATAATTCACATTTGAATGAAAATTAAATGAGTGATGTCCAAACAAGATGGAATGGTGATTCAGAAATTTGGAAGCAAGGGAAAATAATGAATGGTTGCCACCTCAAAATGTTGTTTACCTTCATAATTAAAACATAATGCTGAATTGTGGGTTTCAAAAACCCACATCAATTTAGAACATTTACAGAGTCTTCTAGTTTGGTTAGGGCAGCCAAAGGTCTGTTTGTTTCACTTTATCTCAGTATTTTTGGTTGTTTAACAGTATTCACTGATTTAATTTAGGTTCAGCAGTATAATTATAGTCGCATGCAGCCACAGTCACCTCTGAATATTCAGCAGAAACAGCATTTGCATCAGACTGCAGAAGGATTGCATCCTGAATCAGATGCTCACTCAGAATTGCGGCAGAGTGCTGAAACTTTATTATTGTGTAAAAGTCCAGTTGTTGTACAAAAAGCTGAAAATACTGTGATGGAACTGACGACAGAGGCAATTAATTTAATGAAATATCAGGTAGAGCAGAAAGTACAGTATTTTAATGTTGATCATAAAGTTCAAGAATTATGCCAGCAAGATGGAATAGCCAAAATGAGATCTCTAGAAATACAAATGGAAAATGAAGACTTGAGTCAAGAGAAGGACTTGCATCTGAGATCCAGTGGTGGACTAGCTCTAAGGTAATGCTTAAAATATGAGTGGAAAAGCATATTGTAAATGTATGGAATTTAACTGAGTAAAATTGTTACACAAATAGGAGAGAAATCATGTCTTCTGCTGCGTACATGGGGTACACAGTTCTATTTTTTGAGTAGTTAACATTTTCTTTATCAGTTTTAGAATCATATACATTTTAATTTTGTATTCTCCTTTTGGTGCATGTTATAGCAAAGTTTTCAAGTCCTGGTAGGGGCAGAATTATTCTCTTCATGTCATCCACACCAGCTCTGGGGCCCACCCAGCCTTCTGTCAAGTGGGTAACTGGGTCTCTTTCCCTGGGGGTAAAGTGGCCAGGACATGGAGTTGACCACTCGCCTACAAGTGGTGCCGAGGTTAAGAATACGTGGATCTATACATCCACTTTCCCATACGTCTTCATGGCGTAGTGCTTAATTAGTTAAGCACAGGGACAACTTTACCATTCTGTAGAAATAATTATTTTTTCTTCCTAGGCATATAGTAAATGTGTGTATTTTTGGCATTGGTAGGATTTGAACCTATATGTGGAAATTTGGATTGCTATTGTGTTGAGGGTTATTGCATTCCTTGTATGCTCTTGTGTGTTTGTGTGTGCATATGCATGTACAAAACATCCAGAACAGTATCAATTTATGCACATAGATGTCTATAATGTACTATATGCTGGTGAAAAGGCAGAAGCAAGACATGATTTTCTACTGGAAAATCACCTTTGCTGTCTAGTGATTTTTTACACCAATAGAAGCAGGCTGTGCCCTAGCTCAGATTTATAGTAGTTGTTTTTCACTGCAATGGTCCAAGTTCAATCCCAGATAAGTTAATGTGTTGAATACAGTGGCTCTGGAGCAGGTTTTCTCTGAGTGCTTTAGTTTCTCAAGCTGAGTCTTTTATGTTTCTCTCAAATGTCATTCTTGCTAGTACACTAGGCTACATATGGCCTACATACCAAGTGACTCATTTTCACAGATGCAAGCTTTCCAAAATATCTTTTATTTTGTATATTTTTATTTGTGATATCATGTTCTTTTGGTTAGTACATTCTTATTTATACTGTCTTATTCATGCATTAGATTTTATTTCAGATAACTGGAACTTTTCTAATATAGGCATAACTAAAGCATTAGCTAATCAGAGTTCTACTTTAACCTTTCAGCGCCGGAAGGCATTTAAATCGCTACTCAACTCCAATGCCGGCGGCTATTTAACTAATTAAATCGGAGAATGCAGCACTTAACTTAAAGCGTAATAAATGGGGAAAAACTGGAGTTTTGTTTTTCAAATTTTCACACAACGTCCAGAGAAGTATATGGAATGAGAGTATTGATCCACACTACTTTAAAATTATTTTTGGGCCAGTGAGCGTATAAAAATTATGCACAATAGTATCGTTTTACCTTAAAAATTCAGCTGTATGTGGTAGTCGCGGAAACACTTAATGCAGAGGCCCACACCGCATGCATCACACCAGTACACTGTGTCCCTTCTCCTTCCACAATTTTGACACACAACGCACTTCTCTGTGGTCTAGATTTCTTCGCCGTTGGAGGAATCTTGCTGATAAAATGTTCTGTTAGACGGGGCACTGTGTGGTCTGATGGATGTGAACCTGGCACTTTATGTTCCACAGCACTCGCATATTTCACGAACAGGCCCTCAATCAACTGAATTCTGAATGATAATCGCTGAGTTCGTTTGCCTGTGTTACTCCTGTACATTATCATTGTATTCAGAATTGAGGCGTTTAGGAGCCTGCAAAACAGCTTCATGTACCACTTATTCATACGCTTCCTGTTGATCAAATAAGAGTGAAGCAACTGGTCGTTCAAATCGACCCCTCCCATTGTTTTATTGTACTCCAATACTGACAGTCGTTTCG